CAAAACACTGTATCAAGCAATGAAATATTTTTAATAAAAAGAAAATAATAAAATAGATACAGTACATAAAAACATATAAAAAACTGTATCAAGTTCCCAGGAAGGTGTCACCTGCAGACACTGGGGAAGTTCCAGGTTGGACTCAGTGGAATGGACTCGCTGATGGGGAAGGTAGATGAACTGATGGGCTCCTCCTCAGGCCCCAGGAAGGTGTCACCTGCAAACACTGGGGAAGTTCCCGGCTGGACTCAGTGGAATAGGAACTGGATTCCAGGACTCGCTGATGGGGAAAGTAGATGAACTGATGGGCTCCTCCTCAGACATCAGCCATTGACAAAACCAAACCATTGAAGACGAGCCAACCTGAGCCACCTTGATCCCTCAGCTTTTATACTGAGCTTGGCAGATGGGAGGAACACTCTATTGGTCAGTTTGGGTCACCTGACCTGTCTGCGCCTCCCCATAGGTGCAACCCCTCCATGGGGTAACCAACCAGGTTAGCTGACCCTGGTTGCCATGGCAGTAAGGACAAGCAAGAGCCTCTCTCACTGAACAAACTTGGCTCCGCTCCAGCCCAAAACCAGGACATGGAATTAACTAATTGTGCTTATAGAGCAAAATAGCAAATTTTCATTACGTTTACACAGAGAACAGTAAATATACACACTTTGTCACTTGCTGTAAAGAATGAAATAGATGAAGTACATATTGATAAAGTTGCAATTTTCTTTAAATAAAAGTCTTTACCATGGACACTCTAAGTAATATTAATTATTGAGTTACACAGTTGGAAAACACAGAATTATTTCAGACAGAGTAAATATTCACCAATTGGTGCTTTCTCTTTCCTCCACAAAGTGCATTTTGGTAAGAAAAAAAATTCTCTTCTGTCCTTGCAAGTACAGCCTCTCTTTCATTGAAAAACAAAATTTCGCCATAGTAAGATGATATGATCACCAGATAGATCAGCCAGCAGCAGAAATATCCAAATTAGACAGCAAAGTATCAATAGTTTGTAACAGAAACCTCATATGAAAAAGAAACCAACTCATAAAAAACTCTATCTCTAGATACAGCTTTCAAATAACAAAAACTCTGGTATTGCAGCGACACTCCCAAAGTTACATTGAAATGTCTGAAGGAAACGTGTAAACCTTTCTTCATGATTTCCTGTGCACGCCTCCTCCCTCCAACATGGCTGGGACTACAGGTGGACTTTGGTTTATCCACCTCCCGTATGTTTACATACCTCACTCAAATGGGCCCAAAATTGTTATTGCTTAGTATTACTGATGTCTCAACATACTGCATGACGATAGTTTATTACTGGAAGATTCAGGAGATCCGAAAGAATAATATTACTACAACCAGACCTTTCCACTCAGATTTGATCTGTGACGAGTGCAGATTAAAACCAATATACTGTGTTTACACAGCGTAAAGCCAAGACGAAGAGGTGAATGAACTCACATGGGAATGACTACTCACCTACATACATCTAATAAAGTAATGAATATATCAAACCTTCTGCTTTGGACTTAAGAACCTTGTAGACATCTGACAGCATCCACAAACCAAGCTGCTTCTCACAGCACTGAAGGCAACTGGAGGATGAAGAATCACAGAGGAGTAGGGGAACAAAGATATTTCAAATAACCAACCAGAAATTTGTATTCAGTTATTCTTTAATTCCAACATAATCTGAAGAACCTAAGTAAATCTAACATATAACAAACATGTTTCCAGTGTAGGGAAACTCGCAAAGTGTTTCCCATGTTGACACACACCAGCAAAATCACTTCCTCCTTATAATCTCCTCATTCTCCAGCCAGCCACAACCTGGACCAGGCAAAGCCCCATCTGCCCCAACACAACCACATCAGCAATGGGGGTCTCCTCCTCCCAACGCTCAGATAAATCAGGCTTATGCTTTGCTCCCACTCCTGCCTATATCACCTACTGCCCACTGTGACAGTGTCATTTTGGCTCAGCCGTAGGGGTCATGCACATCACCAACTCACTTCACGAGGTCTCATGAACCACTCAGGAAAACGAGCTGGGTGTGGTATGATGGACGTCATGCTTCCACACAAATCCCTCTTATATACCACCCCTTTCCTACAAAAGGACAATCAATTGAAGAAAACTAAATTTTTCTGTTCCTTAATTTAACTACCTCCTCACAGGGCACATACAGAAAGTGGCAACTGCTGCCCAAATAGGTGAAAAATTAGCTCTCTTGCCCACCACTACCCACATCTTGATCCTACATCTTGCTGTGATCCCACACTGTTGGCAGGAGGGGTAATTTCAGACTAGGTCTAGTCTAGTCCCAGGAACTACACGTCAATTAGGATGTGTTCCTACAGAAAACCTTCCCATTCACTTCCATCCAAAGGGAATCCAGCCTGTGTGCCCCAAGACCACCTCACAATGTGAAACATCGGTGGATAAGAAGCTCAACATGAGCCAGCAACGTGCGCTGGCAGTCCAGAAAGCCAACCACATCCTGGGCTGCATTAAAAGAAGTGTGGCCAGTAGGCTGAGGTGGGGGGGATTGTGCCCCTCTGCTGACGTGATACCCCACCCGGAGTCCTGCATCCAGCTCTGGGAACCCCAACATGAGAAGGACATGGACTTGTTGGAGCGAGTCCAGAGGAGGGCCATGAAGATGACGAGAGGGCTGGAGGACCTCTGCTATAAGGATAGGCTGAGAGAATTAGGGGAGTTGTTCAACCTGGAGAAGAGAAGGCTCCGGGGGGACCTTAGAGCCCCTTCCAGTCCCTAAAGGGGCTCCAGGAGAGATGGGGAGGGACTCTTGATCAGGGAGGGGAGCCATAGGAAAAGGGGGAAGGGTTTTAAACTGAAAGAGGGGAGATTGAGATGAGATCTCAGGAAGAAATTCTTTGCTGTGAGGGTGGTGAGACACTGGAAGAGGTTGCCCAGAGAAGCTGTGGCTGCCCCATCCCTGGAGGGGTTCAAGGCCAGGCTGGATGGGGCTTGGAGCAACCTGGTCTGGTGGGAGGTATCCCTGCCAATAGCAGGGGGGTTGGAACTAGATGGTCTTTTAGGTCCCTTCCAAAACCATTCTATGATTCTATGAAACAAAGCTGGGATTGTGTTTGTATCTCAGAAGAGCTGGTCCTAGGATGGATAATGGTTTTAAGAAAAAGAAAGGAAACCATAAGCCTAGGACACCTAAATGACAGGACTGACTCTCCAGATCAAGAAATAACCATAGAAACATAGTACAATGATGCTTTTGATAGCTTATGTAAAATAAATGTGATGGTCTCCATAGGGGCCCTAGTCCAATGGCCCTCCTAAGTCCACATCCACAGCTGGTCTCAACAGTAGTCCTAGCAGGTAGGCCAAAGAAAAGCTCAAAAATTGTTCCCTCAAACCAAGGCTGAGGTACAGTTAAAACACATGACATTTCCCTGTGAAGGATTTACTTCTCTGAACTGTTGCTTGAACCTTGCTCACAACCATTAATGAATATGAAAAACTTGATGCAGAACCAGGTATTTAACTCCAGCCCTCCTCCCTTTCTCCACGTGATTTATTTAGATCATCTTGGTCCAAACTGCAAAAAGACTTATTACTGAATTCAATATTTGGATGCAACTTGAAATACATTGAGGCTGCTCTTTAGAAGGAGCCAAACACTTACTGCCTGAACATCAATATCTGTTATGGCTTAAACTGTAGAGTCCAAAATTAAAGATTTTGCCAATTCTTTAAATTTGCTGAAATGGCCTAAGACTCTGACATACACCAAATTTGGGGCTTAATATAAAATACTGAAGAAAATGTCTTAGGATAGGTATTTTTTCACAGTAGGTAAAATCTGACTGTTAAATGGAAGTAAAACACTGTTGCACAGCTACTTTCTCAAACTTAGTAAACTTTTTCTGAAAAAAAAAAAAAAAAAGTCGACACATTGGACCATTTACCATTTTTCATGGTTCTGCTGAGGATAAACATATGGAGAAAATAAGCTACTCCGTAGATCTTATTTCACTCCAGTGTCTGTGCTTTTTATTCGCCCTGTCACAGCCAAGTTCGAGAATTTCCTCTTTCATGATAATAAGCAGAAAGTTCACAGATCCCGAGGCAGCGAAGCAGGAAGTTTGCAGTTTGAAGGATTTCCCCTCTTCGGTGGGACAGGGGAGGAGAGAAAAGTATTGGGGGGGGGGAGCTACCGGGAATTCTTTTGCAAACTTAAGCAGCTGATCTGGATGTAGAGGGTCCAAAAAAGCGATCCCACCGAGACTATGGGCAAATGAAACACTGTCCACGTCTCTCCTGTAGTAATTTTGTCACTTTGGTTTCTTGAGCAAGTGAAAACTCCTGCCTTTTGTGATTAGGGAGGCACAAATAAACCCATCCCCAGCGATGGCTCGGATGCGGGAGGGAGCTAAACCCCCTGCAACAGGGCAGCTCTTCGCCAGAACACGCCACCTTCCCAGCTGACCCCCTGTATCCCTGCATCCCAAGCCAGGAGGCGGACGCCACAACATGTGGCTTTAATGCCAAGCAGCTGCTGCACACCAGGACACACACAAATACACACACACACACACCCATGCCCCCTCTCCCCCCCACCACTGCGCTTCAGGGGGGCTACGGCAAGCCATGGAACTGTCTGAACCCCCAACATCCTCCCTAACACCCACAAACGACCCGAACCCAAACACATCACCTCCACCCCAATCCATCCATCCTCATCCTCTGTGCCTGGAGAAGCCAGATGAAGCGAGATCGTCTCTCCCAGCGCCGGGAGGTTGCGGGGGGATGGATGGACAGACAGACAAACACACGACCCCCTCCCCATCCATTTCAAAACCTGTTATTTCTCCCTCCCGAGCAGAAGTTGGGGCCGGTAAACCCTGTCCCAGTGAGGAGAGAAGACACCCACACCATCACCATCACCATCACCATCACCACCACCACCCTCCCCGGCTCCCCTCCGGTCCGTGTCCCCCCCCAAGCCTCACCGACACCAGGAACTCCAGCGTCCCCACGTAGTCCCTCTCCGTCTTGAGCAGCTCGTTGAGGACGCAGACCCGCAGCCGGAGCTGCTTCTCCAGGTCCTTCCCGCTTTCCCCTTTGCCTTCCCCTTTGCTTTCCTCCGTCATGGTGGGATGCAGCAGGAGGGGGGGGTCCCAGCTCAACCCCCCCCACCACCACCCCAAAAAACCCCGGTCAAGCGGACAACAAAAAGACCCCTCTTAAAGTTACATAGCGAGGCCGGGGGCTCCGGCCGGTCCCTGGCTCCTCAGCCCCCCTTCTCCCCCAGCGTCCGGAGGAGAGGAGCCAAACCCTTCGAGCTCGTCCTCCTTTTCTTTTTTTTCCCCCTCAGGAAGGCGGGGGGGGGACGGACGGGACACACAGAGCCCGGAGGAAACGAGCGGCCACTGGTTCCCAGCTCGCCCCGTGAGCTGGGAGGTTGGAAAGGCTCCGCAGCAGCAGGCTTGGACATTAATCAAAAGCTTTGTATCCATGTGACTCCAACCCCTTCCCTCCCCCCCCCGGCTCCTTTTCGCTAAATCTCAGGAAAAAGGAAAGGAAACAACTCCAGGGAAGATTGCGTGCCAGCAGCTGCCTGTTTCACACACAGGCTGGGAGCTCCAGTTTGAGGCTAATTGGAGATCCCCGACAACAAGAGGCACGGGGAATTTATAAAAACGTCCCGGCGAGCTGGCTGCCCGGGGAATCCGCCACAGTTGGGTTTTGTTTTGGTTTAATCATCAGCAAAATGAGCCATTTCAGCTTCCCCTTCCACACCTTCCCACCGGGACCTATATTGCAACCTACATCGCAACTGACCTGTCTTACAGAGAAGTGCTTTGCTATTCTGCTGAGCAACCCTGCCCAGCTCAGCCTGTACATCTGCTAAAAGCAGGTACAAGGTTTATATTCTACAATACATTAAAAAAAATAAAACCTATCTTGGAGGAACTTTTCTTTAAGTTGTTTTGGCTTTTTTTTACTGTTTATTGAAATAAAGGTGCTATAAAAACCTATATCGCAACTGACGTGACTCACGAAGATGTGCTTTGGTATTTTTCTGAGCAAACCTACACAGCTCAGCGCATGTGTCTGCTAAAAGCAGGTACAAAGAGTATATTCTACAATAGATACAGAAAAGTTTGTCCAAGATAGGGGGGGTTTTAAAGTTGTTTTGGCTTTTTTGTTTGTTTATTGAAATAAAGGTGCTATAAAATCCCCAAGTCACACACTTTTCCTGTCTGCGTTGGAAGCTCAGATTTGCATGATGTATTAAAAGAGTAAAATAATAGTTCAGTAAACTTTTCAAACAGTTAGCAAAAAGCATAATGGTTTTAAACTGAAAGAGGGAAGATTTAGATGAGATCTCAGGCAGAAATTCTTTGCTGTGAGGGTGGTGAGACACTGGAAGAGGTTGCCCAGAGAAGCTGTGGCTGCCCCGTCCCTGGAGGGGTTCAAGGCCAGGCTGGATGGGGCTTGGAGCAACCTGGTCTGGTGGGAGGTGTCCCTGCCCAGGGCAGGGGGGGTGGAACTTGGAGATCTTTAAGGTCTGATTCTATGGTATAGCTACTCAGTACAAGAGGAGCATATTTCTTGAAAACTGGAATATGTCATGTGACTTTTGAGACCGGAGATTTAGATTAGATACTAGAAAGAAATTCTCTCCTGTGAGGGTGGTGAGACACTGGAGAAGGCTGCCCAGAGAAGCTGTGGCTGCCCCATCCCTGGAGGGCTTCAAGGCCAGGCTGGATGGGGCTTGGAGCAACCTGGTCTGGTGGGAGGTGTCCCTGCCCAGGGCAGGGGGGGGTGGAACTTGGAGATCTTTAAGGTCCCTTCCAACCCAAACCATTCTATGATTCTATGGTACAGCTACTCAGTACAAAAGGAGTAGATTTCTTGAAAACTGAAATATGTCATGTGACTTTTGAGACCACCATTGACAGCTGAAGGTCTCTCTGGCTAGCTCTTTGATCTGTGACTGGAAAGAAAAATCTAGGTCTTCAAGATTCCATATCAAAGTATCCTTCTCCAGTTGCAACATCCTAAAAGGAAGGAGTAAAATGGAAACCAGGGTGTAAAACTCCTCTATAGCCTCAGTACAGACTGAGGCAGCAAGAAGAGTCCTCACTGGGAGAGAATGAACAAAGACATTTGTGTTCTGACAACTAGACATCATCTAGCTGTCTGCCTCAGACATCTACTGGGAAATAGAGAATACAGTTCCCACAAGGTGCACGTGCAGACTACCCTGCAAGCTTGCCCACGAACCTCGAAGTGTGGCTCTTCCCTTAGTGGGACACTGGTTTGGGACTTCCATTCCAAAAACAGACAGTGATCTTCATGAGAACCTGAACTTCATGTTCTTTAGGACCTCGTTCCCCTGCCAAATCTGGTTCAAATGGACTGATGGGTTCAAAACAAAGCCGGCACAGTCCAGTCACTGAAGCTTCTTTCTTTAGCAAACTTGTCTGAAAGAGACAACCTGTCTGATGATTAGCTGGAAGCTTTTTCACCCTCTTGGGTAGATTTCATGGGTGAGGCACAGAATCAAAGTCCCAAAGCTCTGTAGCATCTGCCCTGATCCTGTGGAGGAGATGAAGTGCTTCCCACTTGCTGGTACTAGCAGCAGGGAAGCTGATGCTATGGTGGAAAGGAAGAAAAAAAAAACAAAACAAAACACACAATGGTACAAGTTTTCTGAAGTGATAAGCAGAAAATGGATCTGAAACCACTGGAGCTATTGCTTTCCCACTCCTAAACACATGTAGGTGCTCTTTCTTGGGCAGTCATAGCCAGATGCCTATGAGTACAGAAATAAGGGACCACTACAGTTTCTGATTTCGGGACTAGACATCATCTAGCTGTCTGCCTCAGACATCTACTGGGAAATAGAGAATACAGTTCCCACAAGGTGCACGTGCAGACTACCCTGCAAGCTTGCCCACGAACCTCGAAGTGTGGCTCTTCCCTTAGTGGGACACTGGTTTGGGACTTCCATTCCAAAAACAGACAGTGATCTTCATGAGAACCTGAACTTCATGTTCTTTAGGACCTCGTTCCCCTGCCAAATCTGGTTCAAATGGACTGATGGGTTCAAAACAAAGCCGGCACAGTCCAGTCACTGAAGCTTCTTTCTTTAGCAAACTTGTCTGAAAGAGACAACCTGTCTGATGATTAGCTGGAAGCTTTTTCACCCTCTTGGGTAGATTTCATGGGTGAGGCACAGAATCAAAGTCCCAAAGCTCTGTAGCATCTCCCCTGATCCTGTGGAGGAGATGAAGTGCTTCCCACTTGCTGGTACTAGCAGCAGGGAAGCTGATGCTATGGTGGAAAGGAAGGAAAAAAAAAAAAAAAAGAAAAAAAAAACACACAATGGTACAAGTTTTCTGAAGTGATAAACAGAAAATCATAGAATCATAGAATCGTCTGGGTTGGAAGAGACCCTTGGGATCATCGAGTCCAACCATCTACCCTACTCTACAAAGTCCTCCCCTACACCATGTCCCTCAGCACTGCATCTAAACGTCCCTTAAACACAGCCAGGGATGGTGACTCCACCACCTCCCTGGGCAGCCTGTTCCAATGCCCGACCACTCTTTCGGTGAAAAATTCTTTCCTAATGTTCAATCTAAGCCTACCCTGTTGGAGCTTGAAGCCATTCCCTCTCGTTCTGTCACTAATTACCTGTGAGGAGAGACCAGCACCAACCTCTCTACAGTGTCCTTTCAAGTAGTTGTAGAGTGATGAGGTCTCCCCTCAGCCTCCTCTTCCTCATACTAAACAGTCCCAACTCCCTCAGCCGCTCCTGATCTGAAACCACTGGAGCTATTTCTTTCCCACTCCTAAACACATGTAGGTGCCCTTTCTTGGGGAGTCATAGCCAGATGCCTCAAATTCATTACCTTTCCTGCCAGCAAGCACCCTCTCTTTCCTTTGGGAGTACAGAAATAAGGGATCACTACAGTTTCTGATTTCGGATGTTCCCCTTTGCTCTTGGCTTCAGCCACATGCCATCAGTTTTTCACAACCCAGGTGCACCCTCACAGGCCAAGGTGGAGGCTAAAAGAGGCGTGAGCAGCAGCTCACTGTCTTTTTCTTCCTCATCATCTACAGCAGTAAGAATCCCTTCCCTGCAGATGTTTGCCATCTCATTGCCAGGAGACCTGAAAGCCTGAGTGCTCCTTGTCCCTCCTTCATTCAGGCAGGCAGCTCCAGCCCTTTGGGCCAGCAAAAGCACAACTGACAACACTTGGAGAGATTTTTATGACCCACTTGAGGCCACTGAACCCAGCAAAGCCCACAGCAGATGTGCAACGATAGGAAAAGTAGTTCTAAGTACGTACCGGACACAATCTATGGAAAACATACGTGCGTACAAGTTCAGCCAATTTTCCTGACGACCTGCTTGAAGTACTAAAGACAAGGGCAAATTACTCTTTTCCCCCTACCTTCAGGAAAAAGCTGAATTGCGCCAATTGTAGTTTTCACTAGGCCAAAAATGGTGAAAAAAGAGAATAAACCAGAAGAAGGGTAGAGCATACACACAAGATGAAAAATTTCAGCCCAAACAAAAAGGGTTTAAGCAACTAAAGAGCAGATTTTACACAGTGATGTATCAGGAAACCTGGCTGGTAGATAGCACTACCTGTCTTAAATGCAAAAATAAATTAAGTAAAACAGTATATTGATTATGCCAGCATGTGAGAGACAGTGATTCTTGCTCCCTACAGGGAAAGCCACAGGTTTTCTGCAAAAAATAAGCTTGTTCTCATGGGATGCTGTAACTTTGGAATCCAATCAGAACTATTTCGGTCCAACGGTACTTGAGGTCCAAGTTTGAACTCTGTTTAAAAGAAAAAAAATGGCACCATTGAAAAAATATGGCACCACACAACTTTTGGCCTTTCACAAAACCACATCATTGAGGATGGATGGGACCTCTCAAGATCTTCTAGTCCACCCCACCTGATCAAGCAAGATCACCTACAGCAGGCTGCCCAGGGCACAGGGCAGGTTGTCCAGCCAGGTTCTGAGTTATCTCCACAGATGGAGACTCCACAGCCTCTCTGGGAAACCTGTGCCAGTGTTTGACCAGTGTTCTACAGTGAAAAAATAAGTTTTCTCTTGTATTCATATGGAATTTCATGGGTTTTAATGCGTGCTCGTTGCCTCTTTCCGTCAGCAGGCACTACTGAGAAGAATCTGACTCCTCCTTCATTCTCCCTCATCAAGGATTTAGAAACATTCTCAAGATTGTGTATGAACCTTCTCCTCTCCAGGCTGAACAGTCCCGCCTCTCTCAGCCTCTCTTCATGTGTGAGATCCTC